TATATCTCTGTGTTCTGTTATATAGTTTATCTGTATAGTTTATATCACTGTATTATGTTATAGAGTTTATCTGTATAGTTTACATCACTGTATTCTGTTATATAGTTTATCTGTATATTTATATCAATGTATTCTGTTATAGAGTGTATCTTTATAGTTTATATAACTGTATTCTGTTATAGAGTTTATCTTTATATCCTATATTATTACATTCTGTTTTAGAGTTTATCTGTATAGTTTATATCACTGTATTCTGTTATAGAGTTTATCTTTATAGTCTATATCACTGTATTCTGTTATATAGTTTATCTGTATAGCCTATATCAATGTATTCTGTTATATACTTTATCTGTATAGTTTATATCACTGTATTCTATAATAGAGTTTATCTGTATAGTTTATATTGCTGTGTTCTATTATAGAGTTTATCTGTATAGTTTATATTGCTGTGTTCTGTTATAGAGTTTATCTTTATAGTTTATATTGCTGTATTATGTAATATATTTTTTATTTGAAGATTATATCACTGTGAAAATTACAGAGTTTGTCAGTATACTTTTGCTACTGAATTCTGTGGCAAGTCAGTTCTGTTATATAAGCTTGTCTGATAATATGTATTCTATAAATCACAACATGTGGAAACCAATAAGTGTGAATTCAGTTATGTTACTGTATACAATTACGTGTAATATCGATTATTAATTTACCGTGGAATAATGTACTAAACGTTGATATTAACATTTTATTGTCACGTGCTAGACATTCTTATACCGATGAACTACAAATTTGCTTAGATTTCCGATGACGCTATGTCTTGATCCCCTGTGACAACTTGGGATTCTGCGTATGATTACACAACATCTTTAGACTTAATATAGACAAACAAATCTCGGTTTCCGAGTTTTTGATGAATATCTTAGTTGTGCTGATGTTTTTTTTTCGCACTTTTCTGACAATAATGATAGGTTTAACTATATTATATAACTGTATCCTTACAGTGACCAATCATACTTCAAACTCAGAAACGGGATAAATATTTTTTAGCTAAACCAATCAGTAATAGTGCTTACAGCTCACCGTCGAAATTTGAGCCTCCAAATCAATGTGTTTCTAGAATTGTTATGAATGTTAAGATGACGACTCTTTAAACTATGATAAAAAAATGGAGGAGGATTTAAAATATTTTAGGGGTTACTGTAAGGCTCTTTGTAATCTAGCATATAATTTTCTTTGGGCAATTATGGTTTAAGACGTTCTATTCAGTAAGGCTATTTTCTCCGCAGTGGTGTATTTAAGTGAAAAGGGATGCGGGTGTGGTACAGAAATAAAAAATAGAAAAACCCTTTTGTTGTACACGCCCTGAAGTATTGTTTAAAGGGGCATTCCGCTTTTTTGTAAAACATTTTCAATATCAAGAACATAAATTATACCTAACAATGTTTCTAAAGTATGCTATATGTATCTAGGCGTTTATTTTACTCTAATCCGTAAAGTAGTTTTCCAACAGTTTTTACGTAAAGTTTTGGCGTTTAAAAATTAGCGGCTGGATTTTTTAAGTTAAAACTTTCAGATATGTTATGGGATACATGTCTATAGATTTTGGTTTATAGTTTTCACAAATTCGAGCAAATCAATTTTTCGACCTACGAAAAAAGCGGAAGCCCCCTTTAAGTTTAATAAGGTATTGTTTGAATTCTAACAGACTGCAATGAACTCAATTACAATGGTCAAAATGTCAACGTGAATCTGTGATCAGAATAAACCTGAATCAACTACATTTTCAAGTCATGAATGAACATGTATACACTTTTATTACATTCGTATTATTTTGAAGTTACAATTTGCTTGCCACCTTAAAAAAAATGGCGCCAAAGCAATTTGAGCCAAGTGCTTTGGCAAATCGCTAAAATAAATGTGTATTGTAGGCAAATCGTTGTAGGAGCTTTGTTTATAAAGATGAATACTTTGATCTCTGTCGATACGATTTGCTTAAATAAAAACGTCTAAATTTACAATTTATAGTCTAAAGTAGTGGAAAACCCTAAAGATAGCTTGCCATGCAAGGTAATATACGCCCATTGCAGCTTTGATTTTGAATAAAAATATTTAGCAGTACAGTATCAATCACCAGTATGAAATATTCAATAACTCCTATGAAACATTTTTTTGATTTTCGATAGGGTTCATCCATGGGTGATAATAAACAATTTCTCCAAGTTTCGCCAAAATCTGTCAATAATTGAGCCTTCTAGAATGTTTACAAGCTAGAAATTGAACGCGTTTTCAAGAACAAGGGCAATAACTCATACCAAATATTTTTCGATTTTTCTAATTTTCAATAGGGTTTATCCTTGGGTGATTACGTACACTCACACCAAGTTTAGTCAAAATCCGTCGAGAATTGTGTCTTCTAGAGTGTTTACGAGCTAAAAATCTAACGCGTTTTGAAGAACAAGGGCAATAACTCATTAAACATTTTTCGATTTTATCGATTTTCGATAGGGCTCAACCTTGAGTGATAATAAACAATTTGTCAAAATCCATAAAGAATTGTGACTTGTAGAGTGTTTACGAGCTAAAAATCGAACACGTTTTGAAGAACAAGGGCAATAAATCATATTGAATATTTTTCGATTTTATCGATTTTCAATAGGGTTCATTCTTGGGTGAGGGTGATAATAAACGATTTCAGCAAGTTTCGTCAAAATCCGTAAAGAATTGTGTCTTGTACAGTGTTTACGAGTCATTGTGGACGGACGGACGCACGGACCGACGGATATGGGTGACGGCAATATACGCTCCACGTTTCATGTGGGCGTATAAAAATGGCCTACTTCTGAAAAACCCCATAGAATGTAGGGTGTAACAGCTTGACATAGTTTTGGTATTTGACTTTATAATGGCTCGATATTTTTAGTTGAAACCTTTAGAATAAGTAGACATAATATATGTCTCTACAATTATAAGGCATTTATTTTACTCAAATCCGTACATTATAGTTATCTAACAGCTTCCAAAAGCATTAACGATTTTTTGAATAGCTGAAATTGCCCGAATTTCTAACCTATCCGATTTTAATTTTGAAAATGATACCGATGTACGTTTTTGTTAAATTGTTGGAGAACCAGACATCCGATTTTAATTTTGAAAACTGATACCGGTGTACGTTTTTGTTAAATTATTGGAGAACAAGACATCCGATTTTAATTTTTAAAACTGATACCGGTGTATGTTTTTGTTAAATTGCTGTAGAACCAGACATTCGATTTTAATTTTGAAAACTGATACCGGTGTACGTTTTTGTTAAATTATTGGAGAACAAGACATCCGATTTTAATTTTTAAAACTGATACTGGTGTATGTTTTTGTTAAATTGCTGTAGAACCAGACACTCGATTTTAATTTTGAAAACTGATACCGGTGTACGTTTTTGTTAAATTGTTGGAGAACCATAGGCCTTCATCCGATTTTAATTTTGAAAACTGATACCGGTGTACGTTTTTGTTAAATTATTGGAGAACAAGACATCCGATTTTAATTTTTAAAACTGATACCGGTGTACGTTTTTGTTAAATTGTTGGAGAACCAGACATCCGATTTTAATTTTGAAAACTGATACCGGTGTACGTTTTTGTTAAATTGTTGGAGAACCAGACATCCGATTTTAAGTTTGAAAACTGATACCGGTGTACGTTTTTGTTAAATTGTTGGAGAACCATAGGCCTTCATCCGATTTTAATTTTGAAAACTGATACTGGTGTATATGTTTTTGTTAAATTGATGTAAAACCAGACACTCGATTTTAATTTTTAAAACTGATACCGGTGTATGTTTTCGTTAAATTGTTGGAGAACTAGACATCCTATCTTAATTTTGAAAACTGATACCGGGTGTATACGCTTTTGTTAAATTGTTGGAGACATAGACATCCGATTTTGAAAGTGACAGATGAAATTGAGCTGTGGATAAAGCAAAGATTTAGATGAATATATCACTTTAAAATTATCTTTCACCTCACTCCAGTAATGACTGGAATTTATTGATCTTCGTGAGAAATCAGAATGTGTTTTATATCAAACGATTAGTTTTCTTCTACAGATCGGTGGTCTGCAAGGTTAAGCTACTCACTATCTATTTTACTTGAATGAAAGTACTTTCATTTCTTAACATTCTGTAAAAGAGTAAACAATTCCAAATTGGCAAAAGATATATCATTTATGATTACAAGTTTATTAAAGATTGGTTTCCTAAATTGTTAGTGTTAAATTAAGCAAACCATTTGATTAATTGGTGTTTCTAATGAATTATCGTGTATTCTTAGTTATATCGTTGTGTTTTTATTGCATATAAGTAAGAGTTTTTACCAATCATAAATTAATGTCCAGGCATAGTCTGGTTAAACAAAAAAGACTTTTTGACCTTTCTTGATAGGTCACTCATTGGAATTCTGTTGGTAATTCTCCTCTAATTTAGCTCATTATGAATCAATTATGGACATGTGAGACTACTCTACTTTTTATTCATATAATTTAGCATTTTCATTTTCATAAATCAAAATAAGGTAACCCATCTTTAAAGGGATTGTAAAAAGGTTTTCTATCGAGACACTGTGGCATCGATTTGCACCATTCAAATTTTCAATCAGACGTTGCAATTCGACTAAGACTAAGTGTTTGATGACGTCACTGTGATAAAGCATATTTTGCAGGAACCACGGACGTCTTATTGAAATTTCAGTGTCCCCGATATACATAATTGTTTCAGAAACACTTTACAATCCCGGATTTAAAATGTTTTAATCGGATGAAATGATCTTATAGAACTGATGGATTGCTCAATACAAACATTTGCAACATATTTTCTATCCTATATATCCTTAGTTTAACCCCATTCCCAAAAATCCCGATGAGTGATTCCGTATCGAAAACAGCAGTAGGTAATATCTCATTAATGTTATCTGTTTTCTGCTTTCAGTGTAGGCCTACCAGCAAGACAACATAATGCGGTGGTTTGATAAATTTCATTGCTTATCTACAAAAGTTGCATCAAACGAGGATGAATGGATGTGGAGTCAAGAAGCTCATACAGAAAGACGACAAAATATACTGAAAAAATACCCCGAGATAAAGAAATTGATGGGATATGATTCTTGGATAGCTTATATAGTAACCGTGGAAGTATTAATTCAGATATTTATGTGTTGGGCAATACAGGACGCTTCTTGGGGTGCCATAGTAGTAATGGCATATTGTTTTGGTGCCGTTTTAAATCATTCTCTGGGTAGTGCTATACATGAAATCGGACATAACTTGGCGTTTGGTCATGGAAGACCAGTTGCAAACAGACTTCTGAGTTTATGGTGTAATCTGCCTGTTGCAGTGCCTTTAGCTATAAGTTACAGGAAGTACCACGCCGATCATCATCGATTTCTCGGAGAAGAAAACAAAGATGTCGACATTCCTACTAGATTAGAGAGTTTTATGTTTCGACATCCTATAACTAAAATACTATGGCTATTGTTTCATCCATTTATTCATGCAATCCGTCCATTTTATAAAAGTCCCAAAACAGTTGGTGCCTGGGAAATCGTGAATTGTGTAGTGCAGATTTCCTTTGATCTGATTATCATTTGGTTGTTCGGATACAAATCTTTGATATACCTAATTTGCGGAACATTGTTTGGTTTCGGACTTCATCCTTTAGCCGGCCACTTCATCTCCGAGCATTATCTCTTTACCGACAGCCTAGGTACACATTCGTATTATGGACCATTAAATTTTATTTTGTTTAATGTAGGTTATCACATAGAGCACCACGATTTTCCTTATATACCTTACCATCGATTACCTAAAGTCAAGGAGATAGCCAGTGAGTTTTATGAAGACATTCCTTATCACACGTCCTGGGTTAAAGTTGTGTGGTCGTTTATTTTTGATAAAAATCTCGGTCCCCATGCTAGAGCTGTTGGGTACAAGAAAGAAAAGCAATATTAGAGATCGTTAAATGCATTGAATAGAGATCTGAACTTGATCATCCCAAGAGTTAAAGGGATTGTAAAGTGGTTTTTTAAAAGATTTTATGTGTATCGGGAACACTCGGGTATAAATTTCCAGCATTCCAATTTTCTGTGGTTTCCTGCAATTCGACTAAAACTAAGGTTTTGGTGACGTCACTAGTCGCAAAATATGCTTATCACAAAGGGCCTTCGTGATTAGTGATGTCATCAAACACTTAATTTTAGTCGAATTACAGGAACCTATTTCAATTTCACGCCTCTGGTGCAAAATTTAGAAAATCTTTTTACAATCCCTTTAAGGTGGGGGTTTATTCTGGACATTACTCCGTATTAACTTTGAATAGCTGTTTTTGTTTTGTTTTTTTTTTAAATTATTCGTCCACAGGTGAGAGTTATATATTTATATATATATTTAGCATATATTTACATGTTTTATTAAAGATCAAATAGTTTGCTTAATTTGACAATAAAAAATAAGGAGACCCATCTTTAAGAATTTATGGCAAGGTATAGAGATTTGTCATAAAATCTTTGCGGTGTCAAAAAAATATATAGTTTGA